CCTGTATACATGTTTTTATTGAAATTTCTTTTTTTTTTTAATTGAAATTTCTAAACTATATTTGATAATCAAATGTGTAACTGTCAACTTTTATGAGCTGTGATTAGTGTTTGGTCTGTTTTGAGTGACTTGTGATATGGGACCAGAYTTATGAGGGACATTTTAGTGAACACATCAATTTATTTATGTTGACTTAAAGAAAGCATTCGAYACGATTGACCACAGCATTCTACTTGAAAAATTTAATAAAAATGGGATTAGAGGACCAGCATTACAATGGATATGTAGTTATTTGGAAAAAAGGAAACAGTTTGTATAAGTACATGATGTTGGATCTGAACTATGTGAAATTACATGTGGTGTTCCTCAGGGTTCCATACTTGGACCAAAGTTATTTATCTTGTATGTGAATGTGTCAGGGCTCTTTAAGTRTGTTTTATTTGCAGATGTTACCACATTTTTTTGTTCGGGTAAAGAYATAGAACGGATGTTAGAGAAAATTCAAACAGAATTTGTGAAAATACAAAACAGGTTTAAACTTAAATTATCACTCAATTTGGATAAAACTAATTATATGACATTTAGAGTTGATGGTGTAGAGATAAGTGGAGTCAGTGAGGTAAAGTTTATGGGTGTTATTATTGATGAGAAACTGACATGGAAACCTCATATAAATTATTTAAGAATAAAACTAGCTAAATCTATTGCATTGCTTTACAAAGTAAGGGACTTGTTTAATGATAAAGCTCTGTATATGTTATATAACACATTAATTTTTCCACACTTGGTCTATTGTGTTGAGGTATGGGGGAAAGCATGTAAGATAATTACACATCCTGATTTTGTTTTGCAAAAAGAGATATAAGAGTAATCACTTGAAAACATTACCATTATCCATCTAATATATTATTCTGTAAACTGAAATTATTGAAATTTTATTATTTGGTTGACTATAATATTTTGTTAGTTATGTATAAGGCTCACCTTAACACATTACCTATAAACATCCAGAAAATCTTTACAAAGAGAGTGAGCTGTTATAGTGTTAAGAGCACAGAGATGTTCATGAAACCTAAATTTAGAACCTGTTTGAAAGAACGCTGCAGCTCAATCCAAGGAGTCAGATTGTGGAATAATTTAGAAGATGATGTTAAAAGTGCCAAATCACTGTATATGTTTAAGAGCAAGATAAAGATTAGATTGTCAAAAAATATATGAAATGGTTTAATATGTAGCCACTCATTTTGTTGTTCTAGAAAGATTCTGTTTGGTTAACTGAAGATTATTGTAGAATTTATATTTGAGAAAAAAGGGGCAGGTATTATAAGATTTTTTCTTCTCTCTGCCGCCTTTCATTTAATTTTATTTGTATTTTCTTTTTTATTGTACATAGAATTTTGTTTTTGTGGAATAAATAAAGTTTGAAAAAAATTCGATGTGATGTTTTTGCCCCAGAGGAATGTCTAGACCTGGATTAARGAGGCATAAATTGTGCTATTTGTTTTGATTCTTTACCAAAACTCCAGAGACTCCGTTCAGGTCTGCTTCGGTCCAGCTGAAAGTTGAGTAATACTTTATATTCTGCAGTTAAATGTTGAAGTCTAAATTTGAATTAGTCTGCTGTTTTCTTACGGTATTTGTTTTYCAGACCGTCTAAAATTTGTTTGAGGTTGTGTTGAACAAATTAACCAGTTCAAGATGGAGCTCTAACATTTTATAACATTAAAATGTAACCATTGCAGGACTTCCTCAGTCGAACCAATCTACAGTGAAACACCTCGGCTTGTCCATAGCTGCAGACACAACAGGCTCAAGATTCACAGTAAGACACACTTTGTGATGTTTTTACCTAAATAAAAACCTGGAACCTGATTTCTGTCACCTCCTTTGATCTGGTTTAGGTTTGCAGCCCGAGTCTTAGTCACACATGTCATGAGAACTCCTACCTGAACAGTTTGTGTTTCAACATCACTGATGACCTTCATCAGATCTCCTCTTTCAAGCCTGTGTTCCAAGGTAATCTAGGTTATCACCTGGAATCTTCAMTATTTAAATTCAAATCTATTACCAACTTTAACAAACTTTCCCCCCAGATTGCACCGAAAAGACAGTAAACCTGGTCTTTTTATTTGATGGATCAGGGAGCATGACTACTGATGAATTTAATAAAAACAAAGATTTCATTGTGGAAATAATGAACAGCCTTAAAAACACATCAATCAAGGTCAGTGGTCAAATAACCTACAATCTGCATGCTTATATAAAACTATGTTTTGGCATTTCAGTGACAAATGTTGTTTCTTTAGTTTGCAGCAGTTCAGTTTTCCAAGGAAATCAGGAAAGTTTTTGATTTTAATGACTACGATGCCGGTCAGGCTCAGAGGAAACTCAAGAGTGAAAATCACATGAAGAGTCTCACTAACACACACACAGCCCTCACATTTGTCTTGTAAGTTCAGCAGCACTCACTTCACTTGGCTCAGTGGAGCTATTCTTAACATCTCATTTAATGAAAGTCCCGTCACACTATAACTTTTTAGAGAATTTATGTCGACTTATGACTTATTTTACTCACATATGATCTAATTGTTAGCATTACAGTATGTATAGGTCCAAAAGAGTCTTCTAGTAGATTTTTTTAATTCCATATTTAGCTTAGACATCTTCTGTGTTGGATAAATTTTTCATAAGTTAGTATAAGTTGTCTAAAATGTAGTGTGACGGGCCTTGAAGTTGTAAAATTGTATGTATAAYGCTTCAAAGATAAATTTAATTTTCACCCAAAACCAAAACATAAGTAATCCTTTGCCTGCATCTGTGTGAGTGATTGTTCTGTTAGCAAGAGATGGATTTCACTGAAACTTGCAAAATGTTATTGAACTTTAAGMTGGCCACAACAGTGATGTGATCTTAGCCAACATAAAGTGACTATAACTCAGCTAATTTTAAACATATGGAACTAACAAAAGTAATAAAACATGAAAAAATAGTAAAAAGTCACAGTTGAAAATCACCATTGCTTTGGAAGTGTGGTTCTATAAAGTAGTTTTAAAAATAAAAGTCATGAAACGTGGACAAAAGTGATGGTCCCTGAAGGGTCTCAGTCTATAAAAGGTTGGTGATTCCTGTCCTACAACAGTTTCCACAGCTCACTGAGACTTTTGGTTGTGGAGACTGTAAGAGACATTTCACAACACCAGACTCTGACACACACACAGTCACATGTGTAACTCCCTCCTTTACTTCCTGTGGTCCACACCATAACACCAAACAGCACACTGACTGCTTTTCTCCCTTTAAAGAGGCAGACTGACTCATTACAAGCTAAAAGACACCTGTAATGCTAACTAGAGGAGACACCTTAGTTTAACACGTCCTTTTAAACAAAATGTTTTCAATGCTTCAGAGGTACCATCAGTTTTGTCCAGGCCTGTTTCACTTGTTTGTTAAACTTATTCACCACATCACTAAGGTTTGTCTGTTTCAGGTCAGACATCTTTGACAACCCGGCAGCAGGCGCCTCCCCTGATGCAACTAAAGTTCTGGTGATAATTACAGATGGAGATCCAAGTGACTCAGACAGAAATAAAACTGTAGCCCAGTATGAAAAGAAAGGAATAATTCGAGTTGTAATTGGGGTAAGTTCTGACTGTATTCATCACCTGCTGCCATAGAAGGTGGGACATGATGTGATTACCTTTGACTGTGTTTTACTTTGTCAATCCAGTGTTTCTCCTACATTATCCAAGGAGGGTGTCTCACCCCTCCATGGAGATTATGGCTTGTAATAAATTCATAATCTCAAAACATGTGAATCACTTAATCTGGTACACATTTGTGAAGATAATGAACTTTAAATACAAAAGTCCCCAGGATGTCAGGGACATGGGATGGAGAGTGGGTGGGTGATGATGTACTGGGTCTGGTGTCAGCCCAGCTGCTGAGGACTAAGATGTAAACACAAACAGACGCTTATTCATTTATTACGTCATGATCTTTATGCTGTCCCTTTGTAGGGGCGGACCACCCACCTAAAGTAACGCTTGGGGAAATGCTGTAAAGATGCTCTGTGAAATAGAGGGCCTGCAGAAAGATCATAGAGTTGCTGGGCTCAAAGAGTAACCAGGCCTAAAAGACCCACTAAAGCTGACCAATTAGGGCCCACCAACCTCCAGTTTTTATTTTAAGTGTTTATAAATATTTAAACAAAAACTGAACCCTACAAACGTAATAAAATATTAAAGTAATGAGACTAAATTTAAAATTATTTTTTCCGTTTTTAGGTCAAAGGTGTGAAGATAGATAAATTCACAGAAATTACCTCAGAGCCAAAACAGAATAATTTTTTCCAAATTGAACAGTATAATGGGCTCACAGGACTCCTGGAAAACTTTCAAAAGAAAATCTTTAACATTGAAGGTAATGTTTTTTATTTTCTTTTTATACCACTAAAATAAATAGTAATTTTTGTGTTTGTGCAGCGACACTGATTCTGCTAATGTTTTCTTTTTAGGGTCCAAAGTGACTCGAGCAGCAGAAATGAAAAATGAAATGTCTCAGACTGGATTCAGTTCAGTCTTCTACAAGGTGAGTGACATAAAATGTTACATCTGTCCTGTWTCCTCTGGTAAACATTTAAAGGTTCAGACATAAAGAACATCTGCTTTGGGACCCACCTGTTTGGACCAGACTGATAAATTACTACTGACCGACCCAAGCTAGACCCGTTCCAAACATAGAACCTTCCACAAAACCTCACTTCAAATGATCTGAACTATATTTTTAAAACCTGCTGAGAGAGCTTGTGTCTGAAAGCACAGTAACATTTATTGATGCTATCACTACAGACAGAAACACCTGCAGTGTCCAGTTTCAATCTACACCACAGCATGCAGTATTCTTCTGTGTGTACTGTGGTAGTACTGCAGCTGTATGTATTAGTACTTACTGTCCAAATTTCCTTACTGGGGACAAAGAAAACATTTTGATCTTGATGCAATCATTGACATTCGCACAACTCAAAACCCTGAAAGAGGTCAGTGGCAGAAAAGGATAATAATTGCAAATTCAGAAATCATTCTGAATTTTAACTTCGGGCCAACATAATAACTCTATAACAACTRCCTGAAGCATCTTGCAGAGTCTCAGACCCAACAGGTTGACCAGAATCTGGGTTCTGACAGGTTGTTTGTGTTGACAGGAAACCCTGTTTCTGGGTTCAGTGGGATCAAACGCCTGGCGTGGTTCTCTCTTTGAGCATCAAGAACAAAATGAAAAACAGATCTCAGATCCAAAAATGGAAATGGATTCCTACATGGGTAAAATAATTTTCTGCTCATTTTTTAACATCTGTCCTGAGATACCAGTAAGGGACACAAGTTATTTTTGTGTGATTGAGATAATGTCTAAGACCATGATTAAGATTTTGTGTAATTAACTACTGCAGGATACTCTCTGTCTGTTGGACAGAGGAACGGTGGAGTTTTATTCTTTACAGGAGCTCCTCGTTTCAACCACACTGGACAGGTTGTACTTTTCACACAAAACAACAAAACCTGGGAAACTGTTCAAAGAATGACCACAGACCAGGTTGGTACACTGACTGAATATTTTACCTTTTTAAATTTAGTCTATTGTACAGATTTAAAACCATAATGTATTTCAATGTTTATGGTGATTAAACCTTCAACTGCCTCTGAAACTATTTGTTTGCAAATGTTAAGTTAAAGAACTTTGTAAAGTACATTCTGACTGTTTCTACAGTTAAAACATTTAGTCCTAAATTACCTGTTGTGCACAGGCAGAGTGTTTTCAGTGGTTAGAGAAAGGAAACCAGGTAACTTCCTGGCACCTTGTTGTCATAAAATGAAACCTTTGAGAAAATAACAGAGTTGCTTGATGGCACAATAAAAGTTCCTGCTTTACTTTTCAGATTGGTTCTTACTTTGGAGCAGAGCTGTGTTCTGTAGACATCGACTCTGACGGGAACACAGACTTCCTGCTGGTGGGAGCGCCGATGTTTTACCAACCTCAGGAGAAAAAAGAAGGAAGGATCTACATTTATAGACTTTCTGATGAGGTGGGACACAAGAAGGAATCACATTGTTTTATTTATGAATGTTACAAATGTTATAAAGCATTATTATCCTTACAGATCCAACTAATAAGTGTGGATAATGTGACAGCACCATCTATGGGTAGATTTGGCAGCACCATATCCAGTCTTTCAGACCTGAATGGAGATGAACTCAGAGATGTTGCTGTTGGAGCTCCTCTGGAGGAGGATAGCAGGGGGGCTGTGTACATCTACCTGGGAGACAGAAACAGAGGAATACGCAGCACTTTCAGCCAGGTGACACAAAAATTCCAAATTCTCTCACAAAAAAGTCTTTCTGAGAAGACTCAAGTCTGTCTCAGATGGACAAAGAGATATTGGACATGCATTTTGTGGACAAATGAGTTCAGGTTTTAGTTGCTTTTAGCATAACCAGACGTCTGGGACTTTGAGCCAAAGATGAGTAAAACACCACGGCTGTTCACGAAAGCTTTAAAGCTGAGGTGCCCAAAGTGGGGTCTGTGGGCCAAAATTGTAGAAACACTATATTTCCACTTAATCTTTTCAACCATTGGTCCAACTATGGGTACAAGGAGCTGAAGTCAGATAGTCTTAAGTTAACTCATGGTACTCATTTTATTTTAACTACAAGAGACATTTAAATTAGATTAAAACACATACCTACCTTATAAGACCACATATACTCAAATTTAAAATTATGAAAAGTCCCATGAGCCTTTGCTGCCCGGGCATATGTTGAATTTTCTCCATGTCCATGGGCTGAAAAAAAAATGAACGTGGGCAACCACACTGGCTGCTAGCTTAATCATTAAAAAATAAACAATTTTACTTAAGAAGTATTTGCATTTCATGTATTATACTATTGCATTTGGCCCACAGTCCTCAGAATTATTTTAATTTTGGCCCTCTCAGGGAAAATGTTTTTTTAATTTGGCCCTCTCAGGGAAAACATTTGGGCACCCCTGGTTTAAACTTTCCTAACAATTAAAAATATTAAGATAATGCAACATTGTAACAAAGAGCATTGGAAGACTGTATCACAGGAAGTGCCTAATGAAAGTTTAAATATGTATCTAATTGTCCCTCTAACACTTCTGAAACATATACATTTGGTACAAACTTTTCAAACGTTTTGTTGTTCCAGAGAATCACAGGAGAGGTATTTAAAGCAGGGATGAAATTCTTTGGACAATCCATCGATGGAGACATCGACCTCGGCGATGATGGACTTCCAGATATTGTGGTTGGATCACAGGGTTCTGCTGTTATCTTAAGGTATGAACTTCACACGATCAGTTCAACCAAATACTCTTAATTTTAACAACAATATGCTGAGGAGTTTAGAAGAATCCATGTTATTTAAATAGTTTAAAGGAACTTATAATTCCCTCATGCGTGATCAACTTTAAARCACTTTTATTCAATGTGCAGGTCCAAGCCCATCTTTAACGTCACGGCTCACCTGTCGTTTCATCCTGAAGTCATCAGCACYGTGGACATCAACTGTGTAAATGACAAAGATGAAACTTTACCAATGRTTACTGTAACAGCCTGCTTTGAAGTGGTGGAAGCAACAAAGACAAAAGCAAGTGGGTTCAGGTCTCTCTAAAACATTTGGCATTCAACATCAGCTGCTGTCAGATTGGCACTTTAATCCCATCGTTTGATTCTTCAGAATCAGGCTCAAGCTCAAGACTGAACATCTCCTACACTCTGAATGTGGATCAGACAAGACAAACAAATCGGGGATTCTTCATTCAGGATAAGAATAAAAACAGAAGTATTACTCACTCCTACATGCTTCTCAACAAGACAACTTGCGTCAATCATCCTATCAACATGACAGTATGAAAATTATTCAAACGTTCTCAGATAAAATTGGTTTTGTTTTATGCTATCACTTGGGGAAAATAAATCTTCCATCAGTTCATGTTGCCTTTTTGTTTTGCAGAGATGTGTGACAGACACGTTGTCACCCGTCAACATCAAGTTAAACTTTTCTCAAGCTGACACCAAGACCTCAGAGGTGGTTCTGAATGAGGACAGCAGGAGGGAGGCTGTAGCTGAGGTACGGTGACTGAAACTGTGCCAGTTCCTGGTGACAAAAACTAGCTCTAGAGGAATTAAATGTCACATGCTCTTGAACCAATACATGCTTTTTTCAAGGTGTTGAACTTTCACTTTTACAGTAATGTCTCTGAGGTATGAGCTCTTTCATGACAATTTGTGGATACATAAATACAGGGTATTATTTTTTACAGGCTCCCTTTGAAAAAGAATGTATAAAAAATGACACATGCATCGCTCAGCTTGTTGTGGATTTCAACTTCCTGTGAGTATCTCTGTCGACACAACAGAAATTTTATCACTAAAATCACTTCTGTCTTATTGTAACATATCCTCTGACACTCTTAGGTCTGAAACATTACTGGTGACTGAAGGTAACTACTTCAACGTGTCAATAACACTGGAAAATAAAGGCGACGAATCATACAACACCAGCCTGACAATGCACTATCCTCCAGGCCTGTCCTATTCAATGATGAAACTTACAAAGGTGATTTAAACACTTATCTTTGTTTATCATGTCTGACAATTTAAATTCACACAGTAAGAGCACAAAACAGTTTCTAACCAATTGTTAAACACTAGAAGATTGTTGAAACGATCCCTATAACTCTAAGTAGTGATGACTTAATGAGATTCTTTATAGATAAAATAATTTTAATAAGGAATAAAATTCATGACAAACTTCCTGCTACTGTCTCTGACTCTGTCAGATGAGGCAGCTTTAGTGTCACTAGAACCTGATTTATGTCTGGACAGTTTTTGTCCTGCTGAGCTCTCTGAGTTATCTAAAATAATAGCTTCATCCAAACCATCAACAAGTCTGCTAGATCCCAACCAGACTGTTCAAAGAAGCATTTCCCTTAATTAATATTTATATTTTAGATGTACTTAATTTATCTTTGATGAATGGTTATGTGCCGCAGAGCTTTAAGGTTGCTGTAATTAAACCTTTACTTAAGAAACCTGATCTTGATTCAGGAGTTCTGACCAACTAMAGACCTATATCTAATCTYCCATTCATCTCAAAAATTCTTGAGAAATTAGTTGCAAATCAATTATGTGAACATCTGGATAGAAATAATCTATATGAAGAGTTTCAGTCAGGGTTTAGAGCTCATCATAGCACAGAAACAGCACTGGTTAAAGTTACTAATGATATTCTCATGGTCTCAGATCTCAGTGCTGCATTTGATACAATTGATCACAATATTTTATTACGTAGACACGAACTTGATATTGGGATTACAGGAACAGCTCTAAAATGGTTTGAGTCCTATTTAACTGATAGATTTCAGTTTGTTAATGTTAATAATGAATCTTCTTCTTACACCAGAATAAGACTCAAACCATCTTAGAGCTGTTCCTGTAATCCCAATATCAAGTTCAAGTCTACGTAATAAAATACTGTGATCAATTGTATCAAATGCAGCGCTGAGATCTAACAGGACAAGAATGGACACAAGTCCACTGTCTGACAGGACAAGAATGGACACAAGTCCACTGTCTGACAGGACAAGAATGGACACAAGTCCACTGTCTGACAGGACAAGAATGGACACAAGTCCACTGTCTAACAGGACAAGAATGGACACAAGTCCACTGT